TAACATCTTCAGTGGGAGTTTATCACCAGTGTTAATGAATGGAAACATCCTCTCAGTGAAAGTGTGTGTGAAGGTGTGTATGTGTGTGTTAGTATCAGGATCAGAGAAGGACAGCTCTCCTCTGTTACAGTCCAGATTCACTCTGATCCTCTGAAGTTCTTCTTCACTGAGAGAGCAGTGATGGATGTGGTGGGGTGCGTGCTCTGTATTTACCATCATGAACCATATTAACCATAATCCAGACTTTCTTTCCCTTCCTCTGTCCAGACTCTGCTAACACACCCAGGTCCAGATGTACTGTCTCCAACCTGGACGTCCCAGCTGTGAGTCCCTGAGTTAAAGCCCTCAGAGCCCAGGACAGAGCCGTAATGATCAAACCTCTCTGGATTATCAGGAAGCTGCTGTCTCTCTCCTCGTGTCACACAGGTCAGATCTTCAGACAGGATGAAGACTGGATGAGCAGTGTTTGGGTCCAGAATGACCGGACTGTAGGAGACCATGTCCTTCATCTTGTTCCAGATGTTGAAGCTCAGGTTGCCCAGGTGTTTGGCCTGGTCTATCAGAGCTCCTGAGGGCAGCTGTGGATCCTCCAGCAGGGGGCGCTGCTGGACTCTTTCCACTGCAGCCTTGTAGTTTTTCAGGAATGAGACGTCTTCAGCTCTCAGCTCGTCCTCTGTGTCTCTGACTGTGTGTGAAAGAGCTGCTATCTCTCTGCTCAGAGCCTCCATCTCCTCCTTCATCCTTGACTCTTCTGCTCCTCTTCCTCCCTCAGTGCACACAGCCTGACCTCCTCTTCCTCTTCTAGAAACTGGTGAAGCTTCTTAAACTGCTCCTTAATCTGCCTCTCTGTGTGTCGGGCCTGGACCTGAATGTGTTCTGCTGTTTGATCAAACTTCACTTTAACTTCTTTAAAAACATTTAACTTCTTCTTTACCGGCTCCAGAGTTTCCTGAAGTTTCTTCTTGTGTTGTCCAGCAGCTTCATCGATGGGTCTGAATCTGTGATCAGAGTGTTTTTCTGAATCTCTGCAGACGACACACACCGGCTCCTGATGGTCCAGACAGAAGAGTTTGAGTTTCTCAGAGTGCAGACTGCAGAGATCCTCTGAAGCTCTCTGATCTCTCTCCTGCACAAAACTCTCACACAGGTTCTTTAAAGTAAAGTTAGGAGGTAAGAACATTTGACTGTCTCCTCTTACAAACCGGACACTCCTTGTTCTCCTTCTCCTTCCAGCAGTCTTCACACACTCTCTACAGAAGCTGTGACAGCAGGACAGGATGACTGGATCTTTAAAGATGTTGAGGCAGACCGGACAGCTCAGATCTTCCTCTAACTTGGACGCCATTTTATCTCAAGCTGAAGACGAGGAGACGAACAGCTGGGAGTCACTCCCTGTCACTCAAAGTTCCTTTAATCTGTATTCTTTGTTCTTTTTTTTTACCTCTTATCCGGTTTGTGGATTCAGTTTCAGGTAAAAGTCCAGATTAGTGAGGTTACGTTTGACACCGAGGCTTTGAAGCGTGTGTCGAGTAGGAGGCGCATTTCTTTCTTTCCTCACTTCGAGTCTACGTCATTGATCTGTTTGTGTTCAATGAGGAAGAGGAAGTGAAACCCACTTGTCATGTCTCCTCGTGAGTTTGCGTTAGTTGGTTGTTGGGAGTTGTAGTTTTGGTTCTCTTTTTTTGGAGAAATGGAGCCTGTGAGAAAGAGGAAAACGTCTCCTGTTCGGGAGCATTTTGAGTTATAATCTCCCAATAAAGTAAACGTTAAAACCAGGCGCGGAGCCTGTGGGTCATTGCAGAGGGGGGGGGACCAATAGTGGGCCCATAAACTGTCTATAGGCTATATAGCATATGCTGTAGCCTATATAGTAATATAGTATATCATTTATGGTATAATATCGGCTGTATGGAGATACAAGACGGGGCGGGACGAAGAGAAATGCCGCTGCAGATTACAAAGGGTGTTATTACAGTGACAGGGACTTATCAGTGAGTGACCTGCTGATGTTTAAACAGAACAAGTGCTGATATGTCTGTGCGCATATTCCACCGATTAAACAAGTAAAGCAGACTTCATTAACCGGACGGGAAACCAAAGATAGAAGGCAACTACAGTTTAACATTCAGGGAAGTTGGACGCTCACCTATGGAGGACTAAAAGTGCCAAAATGAAATATATAAATATATAATTAATTAAATCATTAAATGTGTCATCAATTATTTAATATTGGAAATAAATCAACAAATATATAAATAAATATATAATTATTTAATTAATTAAATGCATGTGTTATTAAATAATTAAATAATTAATGAAATGTTTAATTAATTATTTAAAATGTTAATTCATTTAATGTAAAACCACATTTAATTATTTTACTATTTATTTAATTATTTCACTATTTACTTTATCATTTCATGGTCCCTACACCAGCAGTGCATCATGAAATCATTTCATCTGTCACTGCTGCTCGTCAAAGTTTCTAACATCTGATTGGTTACTCAGCAAAGCAAGTCATGACAGATCGATCCCAGATAATGGATTGAAGCAGTGAATGCACTCCGATACGTTAGGTGACAGTGTTCATCCGTATATTCGTTTCGGTACGCTCTTCATTTGTCGCCGAAAAAATAGTTGCTGATGATACAAGTGAAGACGGATCAATCAGCTCACCATTGGTGCAAAGTGTTAGTGCAGGATGTCCAAAAGCTCTCCGGAGCACAGGTACAGCAGATACCTGTCGCTACACCACGTACACCTGTTCAAGGTAGGTAAGGATAGCCAGATGTGCTTCTAAACGAAGCTAGCTAGTCGGCAGAATGGTGTTAGCATGTCAGCAGCCCTGAAGTTGGACTTTTATCACTTCTTTCTTTTTAGTTGTTGTTTGCTTTCTTTATTACATTTATCAGGACTTAAGGATGTTTTAGCTGAGTGGCGATCATGGGAGCTGTAACATTTTCTCTGTGTTGCAGCCGAAGTAGCAAGGCTGTTTGCTCCATACAACAACAACAACAACAACAACAACAACAACAACAACAACAACAACAACAAGGCTGATAAAGTTCCAAGCATTCAGCTTAAAGCAGACCTTCTTGCTTCAGGACTTGGAGAACAAAGGTGATCTTTTCAGGTGCGTCTGAAACAAGAACTTTGACAAAGCACTGAGTCCTGACATTAGTAGGAGTTGTATTTTTAATTTCATTTTATCGCCATTTGTGTTCACCTATTTTACATATTAGACTCAAACTTTAATGACGTGATTTTCTTGCTGTGTATTTGTTATCACAGCTTAGCTTTTGGTATTTGAGTTAATGTGCATTATGTATATTTACAGGAAATGACAACGATCCCATGGTTGTAACAAACAAACTGATGGAGGTGTTTCCAAAGCTGCAAGAAGGGGGAGGCTTTGAGTTTCTAAAAATTGCAGGATCTACTCGCAGTCGAAATCTTGGACTTCTTCAATGTCCCAGCACAGGATACACCCTTACCTATCTAAAAGATCCATCTCCAACAATTGGACAGGCTACAATTGACATACGCCCACTTCAACAGGACCTACCCATTGATTCAGTATGGAAATTTACACTGTCACCATTTGATACATAGTTCAAATAAATTGCACTGTGGAGTTTTAATCAATACTTAACAGATTTGTTGTTCTTAGGAAAGCTCGGGACATGCCTCTGGTCCAGAAGGAGGTTCCCTTCTCTGAAATGAAACTGCACCGAGCTAACTGGGATGGCTATGCACTTGTTAAAGATATATAAGAATTACATATTCATTTTTCAATAAGAAATGTCTTTTTAGTTTTTGTGCACACAGATGAGAGGAAATGACTATAACATTTTCTGAACTTCAAGGACCCCCATGCAGGAAACACATAGAGAAGGAGAGGGAGACCGTGGTGAGGAGAATGATAGAGAGCCACCCACTGACAGGGACAGCGTTCCAGTGAGGCCTGAAACATCTGTAGAGAGTGAAGTAGAACCAGTAGTGATTGAAAGTGAGAAGATTGATCTTAAAGAACTTGACAATGCTTTGTGTCATCACAGTAGGAATGCTATAATATTGTGCATGATTAGAACTCAGTCAATAGAAGAATAACACCTTTTAACCATAATAAATAACGACTAGAAGACATGCCATTATCACTGCTGTTTTATAGAACCTTAGAAACACTTCCTCATACAGTTCACAGACTCCACATCTAAGTGAAGCTTGGTTGACTTCAAACAGCAAATAAGCATCATTCTGATGAAAGTCAAGTAGAAATGGACTTTCCTAGTATCTATTAAAAGGCTGTTGGATTCTGTCACATTTTTCAGGTGTTCCTCCTTTTCTGTTGATTGGGAGTTTATCTGCATTTAACATGCAAAGTAGTTACATTTATTTTTCTTCTTGTCTAGACTGGAAGATTATTAAAGAACCAACTCTGGCTGCCCAAGTTTTCAAAGATAATCTACTAAGTGAACATGCAACCGGGAAGCCTCTAAACTGAAAATGGATGTAAGGGAGCGTGAGGAGGACAGGGAACGGGCACTTCTCTCATTCTATAAACAGCAACAGGAATGGGCATGTCCACTTCATTGTACCCTTGATGGTTAGTAGAATAGAGTTCATAATATAAATATATCCTGTTACATTAATATCAATTCTATGTCTTATATGGAATGGTATTAGTGGTTTACTGGTCCCATCAGGTCATTTGGCTGATATTAATCATTATATGATAATCTGCATTGGCTGTTCATGCTGTCTGCATAACAGTTCATGTGTTTGTCCTTCCTTCCTAAAACTTGTCAAGCACCTATAGCCTTGTTACAGCTTGTTTCTAGTGTGTTATTAACAGTATACAGTATTCTTTAAAAAAAAAAAGTTTTATAGGTGATGCTGCTGTTGGACAGGGAGTGATGCGGTACTTTCTGACAACAATAATATCCAAACTCCAGTTTGGATTCAGAATGAATCTTGGTAAATGTGCTACTATTCAGGTTAATGTCATGCATTTTAAAAGTTAATTGTTTGATTTGAAGCCCTGCTCTGTTGGTACTTACAGGAGGAGTGGGCCAAACTCTGCTATTTGAAGGTGAGCCTGACCATCTCGTTCCAGCTGCATCAGAGGTGCTTATTGAGAGCAACCTCTTCCGGGTTGCAGGAAGGATGATAGCCCACTCCTTTTTGCATGATGGCCCCCATGTCACCGGATTAAGTCCTGCTGTTATTCATGTACTGTTCAATGGGGACCCTGAAATGGCAACAATTGTTGTCGAGGACTGTCCTGATCTGCACATCAGGAGTATTATAACAATGGTATGTAACACACAAACAAAAAAACCTTTGCCTTGCAAAATTCCTGGACAGGTGTAATACCTTTTATGATCCAAACTGTAGCTTGAACTTGAAGAACTTACTCAGGAACAGAAGGACACAGTGTCAGATCTTTCCCTGTCTTGGGATCTCCCAGCAGTCACTAAAACGAATCAGAGGTGGCTACATAACAAACTTCTAGTACACGCGGTGAGTTTCTCCTGCTGATTTGGTGAATTCTCCTTCTGAAATTGAACTCATCCCCCATTTATCCATCAATTATGTTTCAAGCTAAGCAATTCTATCATGTCTGCATTTCTTTTGCACATCTGTATTTCAATCACAAACTAATTGGAACTGCAGGCAGGATTATTACAGAACCTAAACACTCTTTAACTTGTAATCTAGGCAGGGAGTGGTTTGGTGTTGCAATATGAAAGGATATAATTGGGGAAAAATACATCTTAACCCTGTAAAGCCTGACACATGAAAAAATAACCAGGAAATTCTATTCTTTTGGAATTGAGATGTTTATTAAACCCTTAAACAAAATCCCCCAAAATGTTTTTCTCATATCATGTTGTTTATGATATTTTTTTTGTAGCACATTTGATACATCGGGCGTTTTTGGCAATTTTTTGCACACATTTCAGGAAGCTTTTCTCGTTGTTTTTTTTAACATAACACTTTTTACAGCCTTTTTATTTCATTTTGTGGTAGGCACAAAAACAGTTTCTGTCCTTGTTCAGGCAAAGATGCACCTTACACTTTTCACAGTAGACATGTGAGAAGTGATTGCATCTCTGTCGGGTTTCCCATGTTGGAAAATGATCAATGCCATCCCTTCTCACATCAAGAGGCACACTGCAGCTTGGTCTTTTACGGGGTGGTGTTGGAGTCTCTTCTGGAGAGGATAGTGGTCTGCCACACCTGATTTTGGCCTTTCCTGCCAACCAAAGCCTGAAACCTTCACAGAGGCACGGGTTTCTTCTTGGGGTTTAGCTTCTTCTGGTCTCTTCTGTAGAGGTTCCACGCATTGATGACTGCCACTGTAACAGTGTGCCACCAGATGTACATGTACCATCTTCGGGATCTGAAGCTGAACTTGTAAAGTGCAGACAGCATATCAAGGAGATCAACACCTCCCATGAACTTGTTATATGTTTCAACAATGGCTGGTCTGGGAACCGTTATGTGAGTTTTGGATTTGCGATCCCAGCGTTTCACATTTCCCACAGGTTCAGTGCCAACAAAAGAGGAAATCAGGTTCACTGCTTTGTTGTCGTACCATCTTACAACGATGTTGTTTTCCTGGTTCACTCTGAAGTCCATTGACCCTCTTCCATTTTCTTCAATTCTTTTTCATCCATCATGGTGCAGTGTTTCATCCTGTTCATCCGGATCGTGCCAACGTAGTGGATTCCTCTTTCTTTTAGGTGTTGCACCAGGGGAACTGATGTGAAGTAGTTGTCTGCAAAGACCTTGTGATTTTTTCCTGCTGGAAGTGTTGATGTCATTTTCAGCACAACTTCTCCTGTAACACCTACTTCAGACTTTTCTCTGTCTGGATTTTCTGCACCTTGACAAATATCAAAGTCATAAAGAAAGCCACTTTGTCCAGCACGTCCCCACATTTTGAAACCCCATTTGTGAGGTTTTGCAGGCATGTAGACACGTAGATGAGATTTTCCCTTAAATGGCACCATGATTTCATCAACTGCATGGCTTTCTTCAGGAGGTATGTAGAGAAACTGTTCTCGCAGTTTTTGTAACCATGGCCTGAGCTTCCACAGTTTATCTTTCTTTGCATCATCAGACACACTGAGGTTGTCCTGAAAGTGAATCACTGTCAGCAATTTCAGAAACCGATCTCGAGACATCACATGACAAACTGCAGGGAGCCTTGTCTCCATCTCCCAATAGGCTCTCACAGAGGACATCTGTACTAACCCCATATGAATGTACATGCCTAGAACCTGCTCTATTTCCTTGGCAGTTGTGTTTACTGACTTGCCCTCTTTTTGGACACTGTACAGGTTTGTTTGTTCTGCAGTTTCCTCTAGCATTTCATCAGTGACAAACTGTTTGAAATACATGTATGGTGTCCAGTCACACCTGTCTTCTGTGCCTTCCTCAACACTTGCAATGAAATTGATAGATGGAGCTTGATAATTTATTTTTCTCCATCTGTATTCTTTCCTTTGTGCATTGGCCTTCACTGACTCCTTTCTGATTGTGTCCTGTGTTGTTGTTGGGATCTCAACGTCTGTGCTTGTCTGGGCTACACTTTCCTCTTGATAGTCTTCCTCATCACTGCTATCTGAACTTCCATCATCATGCATGGCCTGAGGAGTCCATTCTTCCTCATCCTCCTCATCATCTTCCCTAACTGCTCTATGTCACTTGAATTGCCATCCATTATCATGTTGATGACATTTTCAATGTACGTTTGTTTTCTCACTTCTTCCTCTATTCTTTTTGACATCTAAAAATACACACATAACAAATTGGTCAATATAGCGTAGCGATTATGATTTCAGAGGAATTGTTATTGTGAAAATACCCAAAATGTATTTTAAAATGGCATTTCAGTCATTAATTAGATTTATTAAATCATTAAAATAGTGTGTGTTTGTATATTGGTAGGCATGATGTAGATTACATTACAAAAATTTAGAATGACCGTTCAAGGATAAAGCACCTTATATACCTGCAGTATCAAATGTGATACACACATTTTTAACACGATTTAACTGTAATATGAAGAATGAATTATTAAGTAATGATGCATTGTTTTAATACAGAATATACTCCTATTAAAGAATGAGTAACAATATAAATGTTATTCTTACTGTAACTTCTTGAAAATTAGCAAAGATTTTCCTGCTGAAAGTGTGTGGATGCTAGCATGATGGTGGCCATTTTTTTAAAAGGTCAAAAAAAGCCCTTCCACTGCCTGCAGTAGAGTGCAAATCCTCTAGGGGGCAGAATACATGTATCAGGTCATATACAACAGGTTTTAAAGGAAAGTTTTGATCATGTTGATAAGACAGAGGTCTCAGAAACTTGCGTAGCAAATATGATACAAATGGTTTTATAGGGTTGTTAAGCACTGCATTAGAGTTTTATAAACACTTTCTACTGTGCTGACTTTTGTAGAATTTTAATATTTGGTCAGTAATATGGGTTTGGCCTTTCTTGTAGGTCATCGGGAGGACCATGCGCCAAATTAAACAGTTGAGAAAGGGATTGAAAGATGTGATGCTATGGCCCCTGCTGACATCAAGGCCAGATGTTGTCCCACTTCTTTTTCTGAAAATGGCAGGAATGCAGTTTGTACCCCAGGTGATTTAGTACATCCAACTTATTAACAATACTTAAAATATTAATAAATGTGTGTGCAAATCTTATTGTCTAATTTACTGAGCTGGATATTTTCTCAATTACCAAGACTGTAATCTATATTCCTTTTCATCAGTGCTGAATTATAAATTATCCTAGACACCAAAATACTTTTCAAACTTTTTTTTTCCAGATGTTCCTAGACAAAATCACATGGCCTGTGGAGGACAGTGATGATGAAGAACTTGACATTGAGTGCAAGTGCCGCATCACTGGTTTTCTACGGATGTTCATTGAAACAGGTATAGCTATCTTATTTTGCAATTTATTTTCATGTTTACCAATGTCTCTATGTCCCATAAACATCTCACTTAACACTGTAGAATATATGAAATGCATAGGGATTTGAACAGTTACAGTGCACTGTGTTCTTAATCCACTTTATGACCTTTTAGCTTCATCAGATACTCTGGCTCAGTTGCTGAAGTTCTGGGTCGGCTGGGAAATGCTCCCTCCAGAACTCAAAGTGGAGTTTTCCGGGGGAACCTTCCCATCATCCTCCACATGCTTTGAAACACTGAAGCTGCCAGCTCATTACAACACCTACAAAGACTTTGAGGAAGCACTTGTTGCTGCCATAGACAGTGCACACACTGGATTTGCTCTTGTTTAAGTATTTTCAGGCAATGATGTTGCTGTGCTTTTATTCAGTAGAAAAAGGTCAATTTGAGTGAAGTGAGTTCAGTGTTTTTCTAACATTTCAAATACAGTGCAGTATTTTCTTTCCCTGAAAATGACACTGCTTTGTTGTTGCTCTTCTGTCAACTGTTTGATACTTCAGTGTGCATCACCTTGCTGTCCTTGCCTGTTGTCATTGGCTACATGAGGTTGTTGAAATATCTCTTGATGCTAGAAAAATTGGTTTTATTTGCATTAAAACAGCATATTATTATTTCAGATTTTTATTGACAAATCAAGTTAACTAATTCATGAGTGACATTTGCACAATAAATAAAATAAAAGGCCTGCTTAAGATATCAGTCTCCAATGATTCTTGACAAAACTTGCACTGTCTCCAAATATGATCCAATTGCATCATTTAAAGAAACTCCTGAAACTGGCAAAATGGCAACCTCTTCATCTGAGAGCTCACGGGCCATCTGAATCTCAGGAACTGACACAGTGTCTCCATGCTGATTGTGAGGCCCATTCCAGTCGATCCCATAGTCTTCATAAACCTGAACAGAGGATAACCTTGATTGACATATTGTTTAAACTACTATGACATGTCATCACACAAGATTCATGAGATTGATCATTGGTCCTTATGTTGGTGACAAATTAAGTTTTAGGCACTTTGCTGCTCAGATGTTGTTCTGTCAGAGCTCAGGAGACAGAAGAGATTCTCATGTTTCATTCAAAAACAAGAACAAAGTGATAACAGAAACCCTTTTATTCAAATATAGTGGGTCCAATTATCATCTGTCTGAAATGTTTCTTCTAAGAAATTTGAGGAAAAATAAATCTGCTAAACATCAGTGACAAACACCTGTATCTCCTGACCAACAAAATATGAATATATTTTCAAAAGGTTTCAATAATAGTGTAAAACTACTATCTTTTTTTTAACCTCTGCAGGATCCTCCATGGGGCCTTGCTCTCTGTATCTTCTCCAGAGTTCATTAGGTGATTGATTCCTTTCAGTTCTAAGTCCATGAAAGTTCCAAGCATCTCTGAAGGAGCTGAGGGTTCTCTGAATTTGGGGAAGGAAGATCCGGTGCAGGGCATAAAGATGGACTTGGTTGTCTGGATTGAGTGTTCCCTGATCTTCCAATGAAGTGAAGATCTGATAGAAGAGGTCTAGGGCATGCTCATAAACATCTCTCCACATCCTCTCTATTCTGCAATTAGAATGCAATTGACAAATTGTTAATTAATATATAATCTCAAGCTTTAAAATACATTGAGCTGCTATGGTTTGTACAAGCAGTGGTGGACAGTAACGGAGTACATTTACTTGAGTATTTGTTTTTTTGGAAACTTGTGACTTTCACTCCACTACAAGATAAATATTGTGCTTTCGACTCCACTACATTTCTAGGAAGCTCGTCGTTACTGGTTCCTTTTAGGCTCAGCATAGCTTTGTAGTCAGCTGTTGGTGTTTTTCTTTTCTAAAATGCAATTGGCCTCACGCTGTGCTCCTCATAGAAGGGAACCAATCACAGTCACCGCTCACACATGGGATGGATTTGGAAATACGTCATCAACGCTCAGTGTAGCAAGCTCTCCCGCCTTCATTCAAACAAAACTCGGCAATGGAGATGGCAGGAGAAGCTGAGGAAAGAGACTAAATGTGCACCATCTTTTAGGGATTTCCATCACTTTCCACAGACATGGAAAAATGCAGGGCGGTTTACAGATTTTATTAAGGCAAGGGTTATGTTGCCATGTAGCCAAGTGGTTCAACTGGATGATGAGTTCATGAAAGCAGAGTTGCAGTTTGTTCGCAGTAATGGACTGAACAGTAAACTTGCAACTCCCCCACAGTGAATGTACGGGGAGAAAAAAAAGGCCCTCCTGTTTTTTTTGGGTGGGGATGTTTAAATAAAAAAATTAAATGACAATAGCTGTCCTTATTGTTTTTGATTGCATTTTTACGCTGAAGTTTTTACAGGTGTTTCTATAGACTTGTAAGTCAATACATCATTAGGTGGTTTCAGAGAGTTACAAGGTTCTGTGTAAGCACTGAGAAAACAATACAGCAATGCACTGATATTAGAAAATGTACTTTGTACTTTTGAATACTCAAGTATTTTTAAAAGTAAGTACTTTAGTACTTTAACTTGACTAAAATCTTGACCGAGCAACTTTTACTTGTAGTTGAGTAAGATTTGACCACGAGTATCAATACTTTGACTCAAGTACTGGAGTTGAGTACTTTGTCCACCACTGTGTACAAGTAGTCACCAAACAGATATATTTGACCTACCGCTGATTGTGTACACTTCTGCCTGTGATGTGAGAGTTCCTGTTGGTACCTCTGCTCCTGATCATGAATTCTGCTACGTCTGAATTCTCTCTTCCTTTATCAGACCGTACCCTTGACGGCAGCCCGTACTGCTGAACGGCATTGATAAAGCTCTGTAGGACAGTGCTAGCCCTGTTATTGCCAGCCACATTCAGGTAGACCACCAGTCGACTGAATCCGTCCACCCCACCATGGACAACAAATCTCCACCTGTCAGACAGTTTTGAACACAAAAAAGCTTTAATGTGATCATTTCTTTGGACATCTATAGAAAGTTGCATTGTTTATCAACTAATATCACTGATACCTTATAAGCTTGTGGTGACCATCTATGTGCCATAAAGAGTTTGGGCCAGGAACAGAATACTGCCGTCGTCTTGTTACATGCAGCCGTAGACGTCTCATGTACACTCCCTCAGCATCCACTCTGTGCAAAGACTCTCAGTCTTGAGACTTTAGAGCAGAAAATAATCATACACTCATTTGCTATTTATTTAAAAAAACACTTAAAAATCTAACTGAGAAATACTGGAAAAAAAATACCAGAGTTTCAAATATTTAGAAGTATTTTGATAGTGTTAGGGTGTTAATAAATAAATAATAATAAATGGCAACACCATGGATCATCAGCAACATTTAGCTCCTGGATAAAAAAAATAAAAATTCAGGTCATCAAAATGTTCACGCCTTGGATACCACATGTTTTAAAACGACACAACCTCGATTAACTTCATGTTTGATATCGAATGTTTGAATTTGTAAATCCAGTACAAAACCACCACAGTCTCAAAAATGACCAGAGTTCACCTTATCTATCATCAACATGATATATAAAACTTCATAATAACAGGATACAAATCTGGATTTACCCTGGAAATGAGTTTCAGATATATCAGCCGCTACGTTGCAAAAGAATACACACATACATGAGCCTTACCTTAACAATATATATTCTCATTGACCTTGCGCCTAGTTCATGGTTATTTATATTTATTCATATTGGATCATACTCACTTGGAACACGCACACCTCTAGCATTCAAATGTCCACGCATTAGCTTGTAGCCGGTGTTTGGACACTTCTGTGGACTTCGCTTACAATACGGTCCAACTCCTCATCAGCAACAGGTGTAGAGATCTGTCTTTCTGAGCAGACCAACAAACTACATGTTACATTTCACTTAACACCTTTTAAAATGAAGGACATCGCCAGTACACTACTAATAATCTTAATAAAATCTGTGAATTTAACTGTGAATACCTTAGGCCACGATGTTTCATGTGTCTTCTGATTGTCCTCTTTGAAACTCCAAACCTCTCAGTAATTTCACTCGCTGGTCGCCCACGATGGTGGTCGGACACGATGCTGTAGAACGGCAGTGGGATGTCAAAAGCCGGGCGCCCTGCTCCGGGTGTGTGCTGCGGCCCCGTACCGGAGAAGCGCTGGAGAACTTCTTCTAAGTTTGTGAACACTCTTCGGTCAATATCTTGGTCAGAGAGAGCGGAAATAACTCCAAGAACTTCAAAAATTGAGATCCGTCTCCGTTACATTCACTGCGACTTGATGACGATCAAATACCGCTGAATTAACTTAGACCCGATGTCACAGGTAAATGTTTTTGTCCCATGTAAAATAAGGACAATCGAAATGAAGCACTTGTCAGCTTATTTCACTACACCGTAGCGACGTTTACCTCCAGATGGGCCGTTGTTTACTTCCGCATTCCAGGAGCGGAAACTGGAAACCAGTTTAACCGGAGCCAAGCATACCGCAAAATAACCGACAACTGGCAGTCATACTACATACTACTGTTGAACGTAGTCTGCAGTATATACTGCATACTGATTTAGAAAGTATGTAGTACGCGGTCTTGAAAACGGCCGTGATGTTCATCAGGTCGCTGACCTTCAATCATTAACCCCGTGTTCTCCAGAGCTCGTTGGATGTCTGAATCTAACTCCTAACTCCTCCATGATTATTCATCATATGCGGATTATCATTTTGTATTACATTAGCGATACTCTTTCAACATTTATATCAAAATTGTGATATATGTGTGACATAATAAAAAATGAAAACAGCTACATGATTGTAATGCTAAAACACACAGTCAAGTTTTCATTATTATTTATATAACTATAATATCATTTACTCTTACTGGTTGTCTCAGGTGAGTCAGGTGAGGGGGGGGAGATTTATCACTACAGCTTATCAGGTCCAAGTTTCATAAAATAACTTTGTGATCATTAGTGACTCACCAACAGAGAGGCGGGGTTACACCGTAGAGTTTAAAACGGGTAAAACTGGTTCAGATAGAAGTGATTGTACCCGACCTAAAAAGCCTCTGCATGTTTCTAATAAGCTCCACGAGCAGAAACGTGCTCAAACTAGGATCAATATTGGAGATGCTTTTGAAAATGGAGAGAGGTTAGAACA